GTCATTTTCGCCAAGGCGCTGAGAATTAACATATAGTTCTTCCAAACATGATAGCCCTTCCAATTCTTCAATCCGATTTATTTCATTTCCACTTAAGTATCTATAGGAAGATAATATTCACTTCACAGCTTACAATTTTTTGAGTTTTTTTAAGCAATGTAGGTTCGATATGCGTCTGATAGAATTATTTTGTAAATATAAATGGGTTAGGGGAATATTAGAGGCTAGTAGTGGTATTTCCTTAAGAAAGTTATTGTAAAGATATAAGACATTCAAAGATTTGCACCGCAAAATTAGGTCATCCTAGGAGTTATTTAACAATTCGATACCATTTCATCAAGGCTTTTGTCATTTAAATACAAATGTGTAATTTTTTGAAGATGTTTTTCAATTTTTGCACATCCTTTTGGCTTGCTTAATCCAGATACTGACCGAGACAGTATAGAAGAAGACAACTTGACCATTATTTACTAGTTCACTAAGTAATCGAATTGGGGATACGAAATAAAATTCATTATTACATATTTATACTTAATACATCATACTTTTAAATAATAAATATTTATAAATTTTATTTCATGAAAATAAAAGTTAATTGTTTTTACGCTTTTTTTCTCCAAGAGCTCCGTCAAATCCGTAGCGTGCGCTTGCTTCTTCTCAATGTCGAAGATTTATGTCCCATATCGTGCGCTTGGCCTTTGCTCCTCAGATTTGCCATTCATCATACAATTTAAGAAGCATAGTAATAAGCACTATGTTGCTGTGCCGATTGGTGACAGATTTAATCTTTACCTGGTAAATCATTCAACTTAAGTCATTTGTTCAGCTTCCAAATTTAGTTCTTGTGGGCATAAGTACGTTAAAATTTGAAAACAAATTGTAGGTGATTCTGTGGGAGAGAATATTAAGGCTTTTACCTCTTCTCATGGGCAAATTTATGCAGCGTCTGGAAAGTATATATATGAGTTCTCAAATCTTAATCTTATGTGTCACTTTGGACGACACAACGCCTCCATAACGAGATTACTTGCTTTTAACAATGACCTCCTTGCAGCAGTTGACGATTTAGGCGTACTATGTGTGTATGACTGTAAATCGAAAGGTGATTTTCTAAAAGTGTTTACATTTTTTAGAACAAATTATGGAACTTACCTTTCCAATCAAAAGCTTTACTATAAATGTTATATTTAATCCATATGGATATGGCGAAAGGCTTCTTCTTGGAAGTATTCAGGGGGCATTATCCCTTTGGAATTTGCGCTCAAGAAAGCAGTTGTATTGGTTTCGAGGTTTCGGTTCAGCTATCACTTGCATTCAACAAGCTCCAGCACTCGATGTTTGCGCTATTGGCTTAGCTGATGGCCGTGTGATTTTACATAATATACGCTTTGACTCCTCGTTGGCTACGTTTGAACAGGATTCGGGTGCAATTAATTCAATCGACTTCCGAACAGGTATATCTATCGCTGCTATTATTCTGATCTTTTCATGCATTAAAATGTGAAACTCTTAAATGTATTATTCACTGTTACTGGTATTATTACTATTATTTATTTTTAGTTGGCGAGGTGCCTGGCCATGATGAAAATTCACCTTTGGTGCTTTCCGGATCAAATTTTGACATTTATCTTCTCACTGGTTCATCCGAAGGAATGGTTCACACTTGGAGGCTAGCCGAGAACGGTGAAAGTTTTCCTGTAGGTGAAGGGGGATTTGCTGTCCACTCTGACAGAGTCGTCAGTTTGAAATTCATTAAGTGTCTTTCGGCCTCTGATCCAAACTTACTTGTTACCTCAAGCGTGGATAATTCTATTAAGGTGATATTTTTTGTGTTCTCTATGTTTATAATCATATATGTCGATAATTCACTCGTCAGTCCGCTACGTGCACGATTCTCTTTAGATGTGTTGTTTCATTATTTAGCACTTAATTCGAACTTCTAGGTATTTGTACGTCATATTATATTCTGTGGATATAGTCTTGCAATATTGTTATTATTCCTAATTTATACGAAATTAGCTTAGTTGGATCATAATGAACTTGTAATAAAATCTTTATTTTGAGATTTCTTTATGTGATCTCGACACTTCAATACCTTTCTTTTAACTCTAAACTTTTTAATAAATGTGTAATAATGGCAGATTTTAAGACTAATTCTAAACTTATGGTAGCATTTGGGCCTTCCTCATTTTATGTACATTTATATACCTGCCTATCTATACTTTGTGTGATATTCCATTTAGATAATATTTTCATATGTATGTATATACATTTTTGGAGCTTACCACGTTTTTATAACATTTATTAGTGTTTTAGATTTAATTTACTTCCATGATTTTTTGACTGCATTTTTAAAATTTCACTATCTATACCTTCTATATCTGCAAGCAAAATACTAGCTTCTCAATAAACGTATGATTCTTGACAATTTGATACTCTGTTGTAATATTTTACTATTTTAAGCACTTTCTTTGGTAGTTACACATGTATGCCCCAAATTGAGCATCATTGTTATTTTGGCGCAATTATTTTATAAAGATAGTAATTATTCTAATGTCATTTTATTTATATAGTTAGATGCCTACGGGTAGATTTAATTCATCGTGTTATCGATTTTTCAGCATCAGAAAAATTGTACATTGGAATAAGGAAAAAGAAAAAGTTTCTTTCACTTTTTTATATGCATTAATTTCATAATCTGAAGATCGACAATTTGCCGTAATTATGATATTAATTAATATTGAAAAATTACAGTTATGGGGATGTACAGGTCAATTCACTTCTTATTTAAGCACAGGATTTTTTTTCATTATAGTGGTACATTTTACAACTAGGCCTGCCTGAGCTATTAATCTAATATGCTTTTATTATCTTAGATGTAACATTCTTCATTTTATAGATAAGTCAACTAAATACCTTTCTTACTCTGGTTATTGCAATAAGGTATCCGTTTTTGATCGTCCTGACGGAAGCCCTAGAATCATGAACCAACGCAGTGGTCATTCACTACCACCAACCTGCATTGCTTTTTGGCCCGGTGGACAGGCCGGTGGAAGCCTTCTTATAAGTTGCGGGGCAGACAGCCTTCTGAGGTATAGTTTTTGCTTAATTGAGAGTAGTGGCTCTCGGATTTTTTTTCTTAACTGTTAATCAATTTGCATTTATGACCGTTTTCGATTTATTTGAATTCTTCGATAATATCAACGCGAAAAAAATGGTTCTTGCTATAATTAGTTAATGATTATGTGTAGCTCATTATATGACTGGATTCTGGTTCTGGCTACATTATTATTTGCTTCGAAGTAGTTTTTAAAGTCGCAACAATTAATTGAATATGGCCTTATCTTTGATGTTAGCTTTTTTTAAAAATGCATGAAACCGTCATTATTTATCATAATTTTAAATAATCTAAGAGTAAGATTGACTTTTC